TTGGAACAAAGACGCGCAAAATACATGTTCTATGATAATAGTGCCGAGTGAGTGAGCGAAAGAGAGAGAGAGAGAAGAGCTGCTACTGCTGCTGCTGCTGCTGCTGGGGTGGTGCAAGGGTGGATGCGGCGTTTACAATTGACGCACAATCAGTCTCAGAATGTATTTGTGCTGGTAGACGACGACGACGACGACGAGTAACAGAGGAGGAGTCAGGCCACACTCGTACACACATAGAGAGCGCAAAACGGCGGCGGCGGCGGCGCGTCGAAAACCACGACTCTCTCTACTCGACTCGACTCGCAGCGGCAGCAGCTCGTTTAATTAACTCGACGTTTGAATTCAAATGCAAATGCCTTGTATACATGGGTATATATATATATATATCTAATACGTTACGTCCCGAGCAGAAGTAGTAGTAGTAGTAGTAGTGGTAGACGCGGGCAAAACAAGCGTCACGGAGAGAGCCGCGTTGATGATAATGCCAGCGCATCTCTATATACTCTCTTTTTCGCTTTTGGCAACGCGCGCGAAATTCACTATTAAATGTATTATATAAGGTATAATATGCACTCGACGAGCGGACCTATCAGCGGCAAAAACAAATTTCCATGACAATACAAGCTGGGCTGCTTGTTGGCAGACAAGAAGAGCGCAGAGCAACCCAAGCTTTTTGGAGCGAGATCGCAACCACGAAAAAAAAATATGACACACATAGCGGTAGCAGCGGCAGCAGAATATTACTACGCTGCTGTGCCATATATATTTTATTATAAGCAGGCGCGCGTCTTTTCCTATAATTGGCAGAGTTTCGTATACATCCAAAAAGAGAGAGAGAGAGAAAAAAATCGTAGTTACCACTGTTATATGTACATAGTTTGGTCTTCTCTATTGTATGCGTTGTACTCTCACGACCGTGTGTTATAATACACGCCGCCACGACGCGAATAAATATTGTGCTTTCGGGTCAATCCGAGGTATCGATTCTTCGGGCGCTGCATGTTTGCCATTATATTCGCAAGCCACTGGATTCGAGTAAGCCTGTATACCTTTTTTTTTTTTCGTCGAGATTCGTCATCGTCGTTGCGCTTATACTTTCCGTACCCCCACCAAAAAAAAAAGAAGAAGAAATTCGCGACTAATCGAAAGCTCGAGGCCGAATCGCAATTTAGGCACGGACTGCAGTCGAGTATAATCAGTAGCATCGGGTCGTTATGCGCAATCGATGCGGGATCAATTTTTATTTTTATTTTTTTGGCTCGCCAAGACGGTAGTTTTATCCCCGAAGCTTGACGAGCTGCTGCTCGAATAAATTGAAAAAGTCAACGATTACACGAAAATACAAGCAAATATAAACAAGGAAAAATGAGAAATAAGCGAATCTCCGGCGACGATCTCGCGTAGACTGTAGCTATTATTGGAAAATGGTATTTATATGCACGCATACACACACGTAGGTATATAATAACTACGTAGCAATTCCGAGCGAGTAAACCGATCGCGTTCTCTATTTGCAATCGAGTAGAGAAAGAGAGAATCTTCGGCTGTGCGTTATACTATAGGACTTTCAAGGCTTCTCACTTGGTAACGGGTATATAGCGGCTTTTATGGGCGATCTGGAGCGAGAAGGAGGAAGAGGAGAGAGGAAGGAGAGAAATAGAGAAGCGATCGCGAAAGAAAAGCGAGAGAGAGAGAGAAAAATTGAATCGAATCCTATCAGGATTGTCGTCGTCGTCGTCAGACCATTGAGCTAGTGGTTTGATATCTCTAAAATATATATATCTTTCTCTCGAGCAGCGACGGCAGCAGCAGCTATAAGGTTTGCTATCTGCGGCAGCGCGGCGAACAATGAAGCGCGTATATATATCTCGCTTGGGCCGAGCGATCGCCAAACAGACCCGGGACTTTGTTACTCGGATGTATTATATACCCTGGTAAAAGTGCTCAACATTCTATGGGCTAGTTTTTGTCCGAAGATTCGCTCGGATGTATAAGCACCAGAGAACTCGAAACATATCGATCAAAAGTGTAATGTTTTTTTCACCGAAAATTATAGATGCAGGGATATAATTTTTCGAAAGCATGCTTTGACTTATATACACGTATTTTTACTTTGCCCCTTGCAGATTTCCAGAGGTGGGGCTGAACGAAATATTTCTACCTATTTATCTATCTATCGTTGACTTATACGAGTTTTTTTACTTTGCCACTTGCAGATTTAGGTACTCGCCATCTAGCGACGGATGCTCAAAGTGGTTAAGAGCTAGTCTAAATTTGTACGACTGATATTTCTAAATTTTCTCACAACCAATCCCATTGATGGATCTATCTATCTATCTATCTTTGATTTATACAAGTATTTTTACCTTGCCACTTGCAGATTTACAGATAATAGGTACTCGCCATCTAGTGGTGGAGTTTGAAAGAGAGAGGTTTAGATCGTGTTTAACATGTTTGAAAACTGGCCTAAATTTTTCGAAACAACTAGAATACTATGAGTGCGTGGCTGCAGCCAACAAATTATTATTTATCAGTATGAAAATTAATTGCTTTTACATGAAGTTCACTACGTAAATACGAAATGGTTTTTTTTAACTCATAGAATAAAATTGTCATTTTCGGGACATTTGAAAATTCGATTAATATTTGTAACAGAAAAATTACAAAAACAAGCAAATTCGTGACTTGAACAGTCAATCGTTTTGGCCATCGGGTTATTATTAACGCAGAACATTTTTATCGAGGTACGAAAAATTCGAATAAGTATATTAAAAAAAAGAATTGTCTGGCGATCTAAATAAAAATTAAAAAATCAATGCAAATCCGTGGGCCGAATCAGCAGCAGCAGCAGCAGCAGCAGCAGCGGCGGCTGCCACTATATTACTGCCAGAGGACATTAGTGCGATTAAGACGTGCTTAAAAGCTATGAACTGTGGATAATATAGACGTCATTGCCTCGGTGTACACACATACGCCAATATAGTATAGGGGTCGAGCGAGTGTATAAAAATACATATAATACGGCGCAGTCGAGGTCTCCGGGCGCAAAGCCAGATATAGCGATTATGGATCGAGCGCGCAGACCAACCAACCAACCAACCAACCAACCAACAACAAAAAAAAGGAGAGAGAAAGAAGATAAAGGGTATGAGCGAGCGAAAGCGAATAGCCGCCTCTCGGCTTACCTAGGACAATACACACAATCTCCGTCTCTCTCTTATTCTCTCTAAGCTGTCAAAGGGACGGCTGCTGCAAGTGTGTATGTATGTATGTATGTACGTGTAGTAGTATACGTGGGAGAGAATCTGACTGACTGACTGACGCGTATTATATATATAACGGAAGCGAAATCTGCTGCTGCCGCTGCTCGCGAGCGAGACTAATGCACCACCACTACCACCGTCAACGTCGTCGTCGTCGAGTTTTCTTCCACCGAAATCACATTTCCCGCACTAAGTAGTTTAAAGAGCTGCTGCTGCTGCCTCGCCACACACGATTCTCTCTCCCTTTCCTCTCTCTCTCTCTCTATTTCTTACTCAAGGGTAGGATACACGTACGTAGTATAGAGTAGTCGCTCGAAAACGCGTAATGCGATAAGCCGGGCCCCACGATTGATGTGCATCTATATCATAAAGTGATTGATGAACGAAATTTCCGCGTTCGGGTTCCACCTCCACCTTCTCCTCCTCCTCCTCCTCTCGAAACATATATATTATAGTATAGTATATATCGTAGCAGGTCGAGCAGCAGCCGTTTATGATTGACTATCGATTATCTCTTAAAATTCGAGCCGCGTATACACGTATACAGCAGCACAAAAAGAGCACGTACACACATACGTATATAGAAAAAAAAAAAAAAAAAATACATCGCAACAGCAGCGGCAGCATGAATGGAGCGACGACGACGCATCGATATCAGCTCTCCTACGTATACACCGCTCGTTAAAAAGTGCACCATCGCACCGCGGCGCACGCCCGAGAGATAGAGACGGATAGAACAAAAGATCAGGAATATCGAGTTTCGTATAATACGCGCGATATGCAAAGCTGCTGCTGCGTTTTGTGGTGACATGGAGCACTGCCACTACTACTGCTGCGACGAGATACTACGACGAGGGAGGGTCGCGAGCGAGCTTGGCCAGATCCACTCGAGTCTCACGAATAATAGCTCGGCGCTCCGCGTGTACACTCCAAGGCATCCCTGCCTGCCGCTGCCGCTAATGTCTCTATTATATTATTATATTATACATCAAGGCCGAACGAGCGAGCGCGCGTTAACTGTCATTCGATACGAGGAGCTCTCGTTGGTACATGATAAAAAACTAAAAAAAAATTTCTGTATAACACTCGATATTTTTTTGCCTTTTTTTTTTTTTATGGAGCTGCGAAAAAATTTTCTAGCGGAAAAAAGGCTATCGGCTAGCACACCCGCGCTGTTGGTGATGCAATAATAATCACAATAATAATCACGATAATAACGATAAAAATACGTAAAGGGATGCGTGACGCGTGCTTCGGTAAATCGTACATATATAACAGCGAGCATCGAGCGCCTAGGCATGTGCGCGGGGAGAGAGAGAGAGGCGAAAGCTAGAGCGAGCTTCCGAATCCATTTGACACGCGCCATTGACCACGAATGCCAGTCTGATAGAGGATATATAATATATAGAGAGAGAGAGAGCACAAACTCCCCCCAGAGTTCTTTCTCTCTCGCTCTGTCTCGTTTCGGAAAAAATCGAGACTCTCGTATCTTGATGCGCGCCAGCGAAAAAAAGATGTTTGATGCCCTCCCCCCGGCTTTCTTTCTTCCTTTCTTTTCTTTCCTTTATTTTTTAAACTTTTATCAGACTTTCGAGCGGCTGGTCCCCGTATGTGTGTGAGCACACGTAAGATATGCGAGACGTTTGCGTACTTGTGTATATGCAAAATGCAGAAATTCTTCGAGATACTTTATATAAATATAGAAAAATATATTACATCGCGCATGAGTATACTCACGGTGAAGCGTTGACACCAGACGCTGAGGTACTTGATGTCGCGGACCCTCATGTTGTACGGCAGCTTCAGCAGTATGTCGGCGTTCTTGTAGTAGCCCAGCGGGGATGGATTTCTGCAACGATCGAGAGATACATATATAGATGAATCGAATTATCGTGTACAATTTTTTTTTTAGCAAGTTCTCGATTTTCATTGCCCGCCAAAGTTTTTTTAATTGTTTTTTTTTAATAGCTCGGTCAAACGACGCGCGTAGTCGGAGTCGCTTCATTTGGTAACGATTACAAAGCTCAAGTCGTTGGGACGAGTGGGGCAATACGCCGCTGCACTTGGCTCTCAATTGTCCAGGTTCTGCTGCAGCGGCCACGCATGATCGGGCTACTGCTGAGACGCCGCGGCGCAGATCCGAATCTGGCCGGCGCCGAGGGCTTCACCGCTCTGCGACTGGATCGAGCTGTTGGAAGAATTTTTCCGGGTCAGCAACGACGTGGACACCTCTGCAGTGGGCCGTGGCGACCTTCAAGGCGAGCGTCGTGGATCTGCTCTTGGATCGTGGCGCCCGTCTCCACGACGGTTTCGTTTTTTTTCTCAGCGACTTGGACGATCATCATCGCGGCGGGCGCTGGAGTCGTAAAATTGCAGCTAGCCGCCGCCGGAGCTCTGGCGATCGTCGAGCGTCTCGAGGAAGCCGGATAAGCGATCGATCGCGCCGACGCCTTGAACGTCGTGAAATTATTCGAGGCGCACGGAGTGTACGACGATAGCGACGATCGTCGCGGATCGCACGAAAATTACCAGTACCACGTGGAAAAAGCAGCATCGACCGTGATAAAATCGAGTCTGTCGCTGCGCGCGATTACCCGAGGATGGGTCGCCCATTCTCATCTGTGCGAGACGGTCGCGAGAGGATTTTTCCGCTCCTGGGCGCTGGATTCTTTCTTGGAGCCGATGAACTACAGACTGCCGCTTCTCTGCTGCGAAACGATCATCGACGCAGTTCAAGAACGAAGATCTGTATCGCATCTGCTTGGCGAACGAAGGTCGGAGAGTTCGTGATTCGGATTGATTCGTAACCTTTTTTTTCTACTTTTTAATCGTATGTTCGCAGTGGACATCGTTCGTGTATTTTTTATGCAATAAATACATTTATAAAAAAATGAGTTGGAAAAAACACAACTACCTCTAGAAACGCCTGCATTTAAAAACCATCTGTAACTAAAATCAGATGCCTCGTACACGAACGTCTGTCAACGGATAGTTACTCCCGCGCGCTAATTTATTTTATTTTATTTGTATAAATTTTACCAAATGTCTCACGCTCAGACAGATTGTAAAAAAAAAAAAAATAAAGGAGTTATAAAAAAATAAATAAATAAATAAATAAAAATGATGTATTCGTTCAAATAGTTCAATCCTCGCGCACCCCCTCACTGGCACGCGAAAAACGTTACACAATACATTTATATAGGAGCCCCGAGCCCGGCGATGCGAGAGACCGGAATATCGTACGATTATAATATTAGTATACACACACACACACACATCGCAGGCGGCAGCGGGGGGGTTGGGGCGCAAAAGCAGATTGCGCGCTTACGGGAGCGATCGAGCGACAGGAAGCCATTCGCGCTGATCCAAGTCAAAGAGCCACTTCCTTTCGTCGCGCGCGCGCGCCTGTGTGTCGTTGAGTGCTCGTCCGTGTCTCTGCGCGTCTGTGTCTGTGTCTGTGTGTATGCGTGGGTGGGATATGGAGAATAGGCAGCAGTAGAGCCTCGTTGCGCTTTTTGCTCTCGCAAATTTATGCACCGCTTCTCTTCTTCTCGATACGGTTATAAATAATGCGGCCGAAAGTGTATGTGTGTGTGTGTGTGTGTGCCTCGCCAAGCGTGTAGCGCCGCGCGCGGAGCAGAAGCGTGCGCGCCGGCCCGTAAAACCCGAAGCGTTGCACGCACGCACGCGGCCGTGCGGGGGTTGTTGGCGAAAGTTTAAAGCGAAACATTCAAAGGGCGGTTTCGACACATTACTATTATTATACGCGCGTAGTGGTAGTATCGACAGTACGCGGGGGGGTTCGCTGCTTCTTCTTCGACGTTATAGCAACGTTGCACGTGGTATTAAAAAAAAAAAGTAAAGAGGGGCAGAGATTTTATTTTGTTTTTCGCATTTCTATTTTATTGCCTGCGTATATATACATACCTGCTGTGGTGCTCCGGATAGGAGATGGGCGTGCCGTCGGGCATGGGCATGGACGAGTTGCCGACCCAGAAGACGGCGTTGGGCGCCGTGCCGTCGTAGCTGAAGTTCTTCACGAAGAGCGTGTACTCGTCGACGACGTAGACGTCGCCGCTGAGCGCGTGGGCGAACGACGTGAAGCTGCCCACCCGCGTGCCGTAATAGTTGGAGTCGCGGCGTCGCTCGTTGCCCGCAGAGCCTGCAACGACGATAGAAAAAGAGAACGATTATGAACGATAACGAATAGAAAAATTTTTGCGAGTTGATCGATTGTCGAATGTCATAGAAAAAAAGATACGCGATCGACGTCGATGCTCCGTATCTATCTATACCTGTACACAAAGAGAGAGAGACGAGCAATCGCGTCGGAGGAGAAGAGCAATAAGAGCCGCAAGTTTAAGCGTCGAGAGAGAGAGAGAGCTCAGCGCGATCAGCAGCTCTCCCGTCTGTCTGTCTGTCTGTCCATCGGACGTTGAAAAAGCAGAAGCGGCGCGTGGCGAAGGGTGAAAGAAAAAAAAAAATAAAAGAAGAGAGAGAGAGAGGAAAAAAAATCTGTTATTGCCGCTTCTCGGGCTGCTGCTGCTGGTCTCTCTCTCTCACTCTTTCTCGATCGACGTTTCAATTTCAGATTGAAGCTCGCTCGCTCTCAGCTGAGCTGATCTTTATTGCGACTGTGTTTTCCTTCATCGTCTTATATATCCACCCAGGCGCGCTCGCGCAAACCCCACTATCGCAGTGCAGACTCCATGATAGACAGAGAGAAAGAGGTGCATATATTTCGAGGCCGATTTTTCGACTTATCTCGTTGATAAGATTAAAACGTTTTAGCGCGATATACAAAATGATCGTTAACACGTATGTACGAATTGTATAATCGATCGTTCGTTAAAAAAAAAGGAAATAAACGAGCTTTTACTCTTTTTTAGTACGCTGTCCGCTCGGACGGTCCTAATTTTTCTCATTGCAATAATGAACCAATCATCTTGAAAGTTTGTAACGACGTTTGGGAGATTGACATAAAAAGAAAAGTTAACATGCCGTTATATCCATCCATATCTGTTCGATACTTCGCAATCGAGGTAGTCACTAGTATGTAATGGGCCACGTTGTATAAGAGTCGAAAATGCAAAACATTAATATCCAAACTAACTATGTACTCTAAAAGAGAACATAGAACAATTAAAATGCGCGGGCCGATTAAAGTCAGCGCGCGTCTTTTGTTCTCGAACCCCTACGTGCCTCTCGACGCCGATCGTCATAAAAAAATCCGTCCGACAGCAATCATCGATCGAGCTTTCACGGTCTGTATTAACTACACATATATACGCACCTCGCTGAATCCGTCGAGATATATTAATTCATCGTTTGCTGTCTCTCTGCCCATTCGACAACTACGTGATTTCGTAAATATTTGACACGCGCACAGAGAGATAGTTGACCGTTTCACGACGATCAGTCCACGAGCTCTATGTATTATAGGTTCGATAAAAAGCTCGAGATAAAGGGCACTGCTGCCAACTGCTGCTCGCAGCTGCGGTAAAACAAAGTGCGCGCACATCGAACGCAAAGCAGCCGTGACGTGCACGCCAATCGTCGCTCGGGCGCGCGCGAGCTTTTGTCGCTCGTGCCTCCTGCCTATGGGACATAGCAGTAGTGGTAGTGGTAGTAGTGGTAGGTGCACAGGGGCGCTCTGTCGTCGTCGTCGTCGTCGGAGAGCTATTTGTTGCCAGGCCGCTAATGGATCTCTAATCACTGCCGCCGTGCCGTGTCAGGGGGTATATATACAGGGGGCAACACCTCTCTTTGTCTCTCTCTCTCACTCCGAGCTACCACCGCCTCGCGTATTACCCAACGACGACGACGACGCCAGCGATGATGATTATTAAGGTCGGCGGCTAATGCTAAAAGCCATATAGTCCCGTAGTACACTTTACAGTCTCTGCTACTACTCCGCTGCACTGTGTGTGTGTGTGTCTCTCTGTGAGCGCAATCGCAGATCGATTTTCGAGTCGCGGCAGAAACTTTGTTGGTGTAGGCAGAGGCAAGCTGCCGACGAGACGTCCTTTTCCGTCGCTTTGGCCGATGAGTTTGTCCGAAGATCTGACGCGGATGTAATATTTGTGGTGGGCGCTGCGCGGGATAAGAAGGAGGAGGAGGAGGACTAGAGGGATTTAATATTTGTGCTCGAGCCAGTTCCGCAGACGAGAGATAGACCGTCTGTGTGTGTATGTGTGCCCAGCCCCGACGGATCTTGGATATTAAGCCCCTCGCGCTGCTATTGAGGGATTCGACGGACGTGTATACTTACTTCGTACTGAGCTGTTTCAAAGTACGCGCGAAGCATCTCTACGCGAGGCGAGCGCGCTAATTGGCCCGACGGATTTTACGATCGCACAAACTCATCTGCATGGATATAAATTATAATTAATACAGATAACACAAGAGGGAGTAGACGGGAGATAGAATTTTTGGGCAACGTAGCACTTCGACTTATACGATTATTTGGAATTTGCCACTTGTAGTTTTAGACATAAAGCATGCTCGCCACCTGGTAGCAAATGCTGAAATTAAATGCTTAAGAACTGGCCTGAATTCGGGTCATTTGCAGTATGCTCGATATTTTTTAACTAATTGCGACTGATTTTTTTTTTTAACAAGCCAATTACGGGTAGTAAGCTTCAAAACATACCAAATTGTCATTTTTCGGTCATCAGGCCATCATCGACGTTGATAATTTCAACCCTATAGCAATGCTCCGCACGTTATAATATAAGCGTCGTCGATGGAGATGAATCGTATAAATCTCGCTGCGATTCTCGTTTCAGGAAGAAAAAAACCTCGAGGCTCTCGAAGAACTCCTCTCCTGCATATATACATGCGATGCGCTCGTGTCTGCGGATAAACAAAGGGTGGCTGCTCTGCCCCGACCGGCCCCGTATATATACGCGCGGGACGATCGTGCGTTGTCGAGCGCGCGAAATGAAGGAAACGACGTCGACGACTAGTCGATCGCAATATGTTAAACGCCTCGACATGTCCGACGACGACGAGGCAGCCTCGATATATAGATGGATGTATCCCCAATGGACGTATATAGCCACCGTCGCCGCAGTACTGCGTGCGTGTTTACTCCGCTCAAATGTTTGCCCGTACACAAAACTGTGATGTACGCGCGCAGGGCAGTGATCGGGGCTCGATTGCTTGTATTAACTGCTTCACCCCCATCCCACGCGCTCGCCCGATGAAAACTGATCAAGATTAAAGTCTATATGCGAGCTGGAGTCGAAGGCTTTAAAAAAAAAAAAAAAAAAACAGGGCCCGGAGGATTGGTACGATACAGCCCGCTCGTCGATCGACTCGCAGCTCTCGAGGACGACGGTGGTGATTTTTTTTTTTTTTTCGAGCGTTAATCACTCGCTCAACTTTTCCCAACGTGATTCCGAAGACGCGAGCGCGCGAGACGAGACAATGCGTGAGTTATATATAAATATGAGATTCATTAAGCAGATATATAACTTGGCTTTTAAGAGGACGACGAAGTCTCTCTCTGTCTCTGTCTCGGGACGAAAGGGGTTGCAAATTAGTCTAGGCGCGCGCGCGCGAGCGCATCCATCATCGGGAGCGAAAACACAACCGTAAGTCACTATAATTATAATACTTGGAAGTCAATCTAGCGTAGTGCGCTGAAAAGGGATTGAAACAAGTTTTGCGCCGTGCGTTGTCGTCGTCGTCGTGCGCAGACATATTAGCGAATGGGCTTATCTCTCTCTCTCTCTCTCTCTCTCTCTCTCGCTCTCTGTCTCGTCGAAATGGTATAGAAGGATTAGTGCCACTGTCAAGTTTTGCCCCGAATCTATATGCTTGAGAAACAAATCCTCACTCTATATACGTGTGAGTGTGTACGCAGAACGAAATAAAGCTCTGCACTACTGCCACTGCGTAGAGAAAGAGAGGACATCATCCTGGCTAAATGAATTGTGTCAAAGAGCTCGATCCCCTCCCCCAAAAACGACGTATAATTATAAAATTAATTAAATTTCTACGGGGCCTGCCTTTTCGACTTTTTGTATCTTTCACGTGTGCGCGTTACACGCGCGATACTGTTGTGGTGCAGAGCTTTCGCGGTTATATATATGCACGCACACGCGAGAGTCGCCAGCGAGACTCTTAATAGACAGAGAGGAAGGAAGGGACGCAAAGCCGATTTGAGTATCGCTAACGAGACTAAAACTACATGTAGAGAGGCACCCGCGTAACCATGAGCGACCGGGATCGCGCGTCATCGTCAAGGCCTATCTTATACTGCTGCTGCTGCTCTTTGGCGAAAGCGATGAAAATTTCCGCGATAGCAACCAACAAAAAAAAAAGGGCAAGCAGAGATAGGTAAGGAAAAATTACTCCCCGTTGTATTATGTGCCTTTGCTCTATATATACTTGCCTCTATATATCTCTAGCTGCTGCGGCCTAGAGAATGTATATTGTGTGTGTGTATACGCGACAAAGACTCTCGGAGAATGTGCACAACGACGACGGCGGCGTCCTGTGTCACAGCGCGCGCGGAAGCCTGTCAACAGTTTGAGATGAGCAAACAAGCCTCTCACTCTCTCTCTCTCTCTCACTCTCTCTGGCAAAAGAGATATACACAAGGAGACTCTACTCTATCTCTCAGTATTATTACCTTGGCCATCTCTCGACTATTACATCCTCGCGGGGGCCCCCCCTCACCGAAATCCCACCGAAACTTCTTCTTCTTCTTCTCTCGAGGAAAAACCGATTTTTCTCTCTTGTAGGGCTGCTTATATATAGTAGTATATACGCGAATCAAAGCCAAGCAAAAGTCTTAGGCCGCTTTGCGCGAGCTGAAAAAAGGAAGGCAGCTAGCTATATACGTAATATAATAGAATTAAAGCTTCGGCGATGCGCCGCGTGCCCAATTGTGATTGTGTGCGCAGCCGAAGCGATCCTCCTCGGTAAAGTGGAAACGATTCATACGCTTTTTTCTTATATATACACGTATACACATAGATCGGACTATTCTGTCGACAGGTTATTTTGATTTTAATCTAGATATGGCCCCGCGTACTATATGGCGAGCTCTTCGCAGCAGCAGTGGCATCCCTCGAGCTTCGCAATCTATCGATTTTTTCGGCTGGCGGCGACTATTACGGCCACTGTTTCTCCCTCGATACGCGTCTCTAC